TTTATGCTCTTTAGTTTTTTTTAGGTTGTAGTATTTGTTTGTGTGTTGCTCTGCTCTGTTCTTGTTTTGTGTGTTCTGTGTTTTAGGTTTGGGCCGTTGACCTCTGTGAGTCCGAGTGTCACCTTATTACCCTGTTGGGGTCCGACACTTGGGTATTACCCTGTTGGGGCCTTTTTGTTGTCTGTTTATTTCTCCCCTTTGGGAGCTTTCAGTGTCGTCGTGTTTTGTTTGTAGGTCCGAGTATTACCCCGTTAGGGTCGGTTCTAGGCGGTCTTATAACCTGTCCTCCCATTTTATTCTCCCGTTGAGAGTTTTGTACTTTTATTCGCACATTTGTGCTCTTTTGATTTATATAATTTCTCTATCGTTCCGGAAAAAAAACATTATAATAATAATTCTCCAATATAAGAAATTCTATAAGATAATAAATTCTAATTTATAACATAATAACTTATAAATTCTAACATAATTTAAATAAATATTTATTAAAAAAAAGCATGGTCGGCCGCACAAGGTGGCGGTCAACTGACTAGGCCGGACTGTCGGACTGGCCGACTGAATCACCGACTGTCACCGAGCGCAGTCGCCGGCCATTTTTTATTTTTTTTTTTGAAAAATGGCTGGGGCAAAATGATCCAACAGGAGCGATAGGTAGTAAAAAGAGGACGGTATCTAATAACACTCTTTATTTAATGGTACATGCCTACATAAAGCTAGAGAAATGAACGAATGTACAACGCATGCATATATAACTGACATTCGAGGACCAAGCAATCACGGGGCTCCACCTCAAACAAGTCGAATTACAACACACGTGTATGAAACCATTCAAAGTCCTAGCAATCACGGGACCTCAAACGGGCCGATGGTGTAAACAATATCATTGGCAACATAAGACCAAGTCATGGTCGAGCCCTCACTTCAGAACTACTCGAGTCAATGCTCATCTCAAGCTCGAGCAAACTCAAACTTGAGTGGAGCTCGAACAATTCAATCAAGCAAACGAGTCTAGCCTCGATCATCATTTCAACACGTTGGTAAGCTCGACAGGCCGCTTGACTTTCTAAGCACCAACACCAATATTGTCTATTTAGATTTAAAAATGTTCCCTTATATTAATTAATGTCTTTTTTTTTTTAAATATCGAGCCTTGTCGAGCATTGAGTCGATCTCAAGCATTCTTATTTTAGTAGAGTCAAACACTATTTTACATGGCTTGTCTAGCTCGAGCTCGAGTGAAAAAAAAAATAAAAAAATAAAAAATGATTTGCACTCGACAAGGTCCATGCTCGACTCGACTTGACTTGTTTGCAACCATACAATTTGGTCATAATTACCGAGCATTGTCAACTGAGATGAACTTCTCTCCTACAAATACACACGCCCCAGCCTTTTGGGTTTCAAAGGCTATACGAGGGCCCGGGAACTAAGTGATGGTTCCGGACCCAATGTTTAGGGTCGAAAAATTTTTCAGCTTTCCACCCATTAATGTAACAGTAGGTATAATACCAAACCCAGTGCATGAAGCCTTCGGCTGTCAAAACCCAGCACAAGAAACATTTTGGCTGCTAGAGCCAGGTGCTCGATTTCGACACACCAGCTAAACACATTATTGACTCCTACAAATCGTAAACTGGAAAACAAAACTCAAGTAGGCCAATAATCCTCATTCGCACATCAGTATTTCAATCACACCACAGGTTTCCCGTTTCCACCAATCCACATGCAACGGTTAAGCCACCAAGAGTTCAACACAACAAAACTAAAATAACACTACAGACATTAGAAACACAACCAGTTCATCAATCCACAGTACGGGAATTAGCAAATCAAAAATAAACATAGCTCATGCGCAATAACCATTCATAACGTTCAACTTAAATTATTTAATAGAGAGAAAGAAAACGTTCAGTTCAGCACCTCCATACCGAAACGGACATGAGCTCCTTATGCATCCAGGAAAGCACGAATGTGGAGGGCCGTCTCTTCTCCAGCTGAAAACCCCGTGCCCGGGCCCTTTTCACGATGCACTCCCCCTGGAACCCAGCAAAGTCGCTGAACCCCACCTGCGAAAAGCCCGAAGAAGCAAACATGTCCCTCCAGTGCCCCAATTTCCCAGGCCTACGGAAATGGCCCACCATACTTTTCTCCATTCTCGGCCCAATCAAGAATCTCTCTATCCTCTGCACACCTTCCAAATCCAGACCAACAGCATCTATGGACTCGAGGAGGTTCAAGCACGATTGCAGGTTGCGTACCACGTGGCCTGCAAAGGGCAAATCTGTCATTTCACATCCCCCGTCCGCGGTCACCACGACTCTCGGAGACATCTGCTTCACGAACCGGAGGACCAGAGGCAGCGGGAGATCGTATTCGGCCAAGCAATAAATCGGGAGATTAACGCCCACCGCCTCATTGCCTGACACGCGAAACAAGTCGATACTTGAGACCTCAAATTCAAACTCGATATTAATCTCGCCAGCAAATTGGAATAAATTCTCCCGGACGAGACAGAGCTCGAGGTGGGTGTGACCCAAGTGCCGAGGGGGGACGAGGGCGGTGATCTTCAGTGCGGGTCGGGCCTCACCCCTCAGCGCGAGCTCCTGCATCAGGGAGGCCCACTGCCCCCCTAGCCCAATATCGAAATCGACAATGTGAATCCGGTCGAGCCCCTCGAAGGCTTCCAGGAGAGCCTGATTGCGGGAGAAGTTGGAAAATTCGACCAGTGGAGAAATTTCAGAGAACGATTTGTAGGCGGCGATTTTTAAAATAAGGTCAGATGGGGGACGAGTATCCGTGTCGACGTTGTTGTTCATGACGAGGAGTGATTCCAGTGCCTCCTTGCAATAGAAGGCGGCCCGAATATAAGACTTGCCTGCAGGAGAGAGAAAGTGATTGAGCCGCGCCAATATCCCTTGCGCGAGTATGAAATTCCCCGTCTGGATTAACTCCGCCACGTTGTACATCTGGTTGATGATCGTCTGAATTTGAACGGGTTCATCCGTGGGGCCAATTATCAGGTTAGGGCCCGGCCTGGTTGGCACCTGAGGTGGAAGATAGTGAGGAAGCAACTGAAGGTGGTGATGGAGTTGCTGTGGCTGTTGTAGTTCCTGGTGGGCATCAGTATAAGACCAATTTGGGCCCAGGCATCCATTGACGAACCCTTTAACGTTAGGCCTCTTCGCCTGAGGCGGCCCGAGAGAAGACTGTTCATTGTGAAGAGGTATGAAAAATGAAGGGTTTGGAGTATGCCGAGCCTGGTGTGGGTTATTGGGATTAAAGACGAGAGGTTTCAGTTCTGAGGAAGAATAGAAGGCAGGAGGTTGCAGGAGATCCGAGGGTAAACCGGTCTTTTCAGCACCAGATCTGTTAGGGAGACTGGAACCTGCGGACAGCGAATTCGGACCAAATGGGTCTCCTGGATCCACAATCCCAAATCCGCCGGAAAACTCAAACTCCGACGCACTTGGACCCTCAACGCCGATTTGTAGGGACCTACTAACATTACCCATTGTGGACTCCTCCCCAGCATCCCCCATAATCCACCGGAAAATGGACTGCTCCTGGGCCGGGGGCAAGGTCGAGAACAGGTTCTCCAAAGCGCTACCACCGACTCCGCCACCGTTAGCTCCGAATTCAAGACACGGCGGCACTGGAAGAAGGTCAGATTCAGCTCCGCCTGCATTGGAGCTTATGGGAGACGGGTCTGNCCGAAACCGCCCCCACCCCTGCGGTGTCGGTGGAAGCACCGCCTCCGCCGCCGCTGCCCCCGCCGCCGTGAGACGAAGAGGGGGTTGAGGAAGTCGTGTTCCCGCCGGAAATTGTGGAATCCAGAACCGACGTAGGCTCTCCAAAGCCGTTATTACTGCTCAAGAAGCAATTTTTCTTCAGAAAATAGGATGAATTGAACGCCGGAATACCTTCTGCTCCGGCAGTGAAAAAAGCTTTGTTCTTTACGAGCAGCTCCAAATCCAAAACCCCTTTACCCCCAAAATCAGAGGGTAAGGGCAAACCCTTCATTTAATCAGCCGCAAAAGATTGCCCAGTAAAACGAACC